TCGTTTTTTAATAATTTTGTTTTCAAATCTTGAAAATGAGTTCATGTGAACTCGAAACGTCGAAAGAAAATAAATTTATTGAAACCGCTGTAAAAATAACTTCTACTAATTTATCCTTGGTCATTTCTCGATATAATAGTTGTACACTGTTTTATAGTGGTAACATTCCTCACCCGCTGCAGCTAGCCGCACCCGCTAAATTCTACTCCTTTAGCTAGCTACAGTCAATCGAGAAGCGGGTGCTTCTTCAGCAAGTGCAGTTAGCTTATTTCTTATGAAATTCCGTGCTTGGACTATGTTACCGAACCAATAAAAATAGTTTCTTATGTAGAAAAGTGTGTTCCACAAGATGGTGCAGTTTGTTTTATAAACAAAACTGGTTCTACTTTCTCCACCTTCGTTGACCGTTAGGCGTTTCTCATCTGCAGTTCTTCAGACTTTGAATAGTCGCATTCTACAATACAACAACACGCAGAAGCGATAGTAATCAGGAAAATGCTGTGAAGCTTGATAGGAGCGGTTGGTTATGCGCATACTGAACGCTGTTATCTCACGCTTTTGTTCAATTTGACGTTTTATTGGAATGAAATAGTTGCTTAAGAATAGACGCTTTTTTTGACATTACAACTCACATGTTATTTCAAATTACTGTTGAAATTTGTAGATGAAAAGTAGTTTCATCAGCAAATATTATGTATGTAAATTGTTACAGGTGTAAAATTGAGTAAAAATGGTGAATATAACAGAAACAAAAGTGTATCGAAGCAATTCGAGATTGCCAAGGTCAACTTTGTTGCGTTTTCTTTCGTTCTATCAGTCAACGTCATGATAATTGCGTGCGCTATTGCAACAGAATGACTTATATAGTAGCGAATATTTGTTACTAAAATTACTATCAAAAAATTAGGTTTTCTGTTAAAGATCGAATTGATCGTCTATCAGAAGAAACGTCTCAATATAAATATGACTTTTTTCCGTGTCATGGCTTAGTCGCCTGCCAGAAATAGATTCAATTTTAGATTACAATATAGCTGTCAGAAATGATCACACTTTAACGGAAGTAAATACCATTAAAGTTTGAGAAAATTATTACATAACAATTTTTTATCTTACTGTGAACTAGCCTCTTTTGAACAATAGCTAATATTTTGCTCCTTGTTCTAGGCTGACATAATAGACAGAGCAGTATCTCTCATTAGAATTCAGAAGATGATTCGTAGAAAGCAAAAGACGAAAGAAGTTTTACCAAAGTTCAAGCTTCGTTTGGCAATTGGTCCATGTCGTAGTTGTACTACGGCTATTGCGAATATGCTCGCTCAAGGCGACGGTGACGTGACAGTTTTCTTACGCCCAATCATTGGCGGAATATGGTTGAATGGTTGCGCTGATTATAGATTTTTTTACGGTGAACATTCACAACAACGAAAAAGAAATACTGCAACTACATTTATTGCTGTTGAAAGTGTGTGTGAACCAAGTCGTTACGATATATTTCCTCCTGATGATTATGATGAATTAATTTGTAAGACAAAACCGTTGTTTTTATTTCGCCAACCGTTAGAAACATGGATTTCATGGAAAAATAATGACATAGCCACTATGATTGGCCAACCGGACGGTAAAGGCATGAGTAATTTTGAGGATTTTAAGAGTGCTTATGAATATATTTACGAATTGTACAAACAAGCTAAGACAATAACCAACGACGTACTTTGCTTGACGAAAAATCATTTATCAAAGAATTCTAAATGCATCTTACAGATATTATGCAGTAAATGGGATATTGTATTCGACGAATGTATGGTGTCAACACATTGGAAATATAAAATCGATAATAATCCAAATATGGTCATATCCGGCGCAGAACAAGAACTATGTTTTGATATAAATGCGACTTATTTGAAACAAATTCGAGAAAAGCAAGGTTTTCAGTTGTGTCAGTCAACTGACACCTGTCATTTTCAAGAGACGCCAGAGGAGAGTGATTATATCGAACGAGTATTAATGCCGATGTACAATGAAGTGGATGCACAAAGCGGAAGAGATTTTCCATTAGAATGATCTAGGAATTTTAGTGAAATGCATTAGATTACAGTGGGGGTTCATAAATTAATACATGCTCTCTGTGATACTTTTTATTCTCAATCCATCGCGAAATATGGATTTTTTAACAGAAACCTAACAGTATGCAAATTGAAAATTGGTATAAGTAAAAGAAAAGTGCTCCCATGAAATATTTATCATCGATATATTATATATATTATCACCGATAAGATCTTAACGCATTAGAACCCGTTATACTTAAACGCGTGAAAACCGGTTTTATCCTTCACAATCATATTTAACGAGTTCGCATCCATCGCCACTCGGAAGAAGCATCAGCTCGCGTGATTTCTGAAAATTAAACCCGTTTAATGTAATTTTTCTGAAAAAGACATTTTTAACGCGTGCTAACCTGCGTTCCAGTATCAAAATTATTTCATGGGCTTTTTTAAATCCTACTCATGAAAAAAAATTCAGAAAAAAGAACGGTCAAGAACGCATTTTTGAAAAAAATGGAACACGTCCTAAAGACGCTTTTAGGACTCGTTTTTCTCTCGAAAGAGCGCGTTTTGTTTTTGTAAAAGAAAACGTGTTCCTCTCTACCAGGAGAGGGATGTCCGAGTTCCATTAATTCCGGAATTACACAACATCCACGAGAATTTTACTGTCTTGCACGAGAATTCTACTTGGTGAGAGGAGCTGAGAATATCGCTAATTCATTCTTCACGAGAATCTTACTTTTCCACAGGAATTTTGAGAATTACCACGAGAATTCTACGTGTTTTAGGTTCTGAACTTGATTTACGTGGTGCACTCGAATTGAAGCTGGGTACGACTTCTACGTTAAGAAACCCAGAATGGTCGAGAAACGCGCCAACACGGACCGGTGATAAAGTTTATGTTGTACCTTAAGAAATTTACAATAATGTAAGGATTACGGATTATTGTAAGGATTACGTGTAGGTGAAATACACAACTATTTCCACTGAGAATTCGTGTTAAAATTCCGGATTTCATAATATGTCGTTTATGGCTCTTCGAGTATTTCAAGAACATTTCGCATACTGGAATTCCTCTTGGTGACTCACTGTCACAACCGGAGTTGATGGAACTCGGACACTGCTGGTACAACTAGTTATTATTAGGCTACATCGCGCTTATTACTTATAAGTTGAATTCCTTGTTTATATTTAACAAAAGAGTGGATCTAGGAAGGGGGAAAATGCGACTTTTTTTCGTTCTTAGCATCAGAGAGCATCTTTCCGCATCGCATCAGTATCGGAGAGCATCGAATGCTGAGCATCTCAAGCATCGAAAAGCATTTCAACGGCTCCGCAAAGTTTCCAGAGCCGCTTTTCCCTCCGGGGATCTAGACATTCACTGAAGGCTTCCGCCATAGTTTGCTCTACAAAACCCAGTTGTGAGAAAAATTTTCGAGAATCAATTTTCGTTGGAAAGAACTTTTTACAAAATAAAGTGCACAATTTTAATCGGTTATAACCGGGGCATGCCTAGTCATATAGCTTTCGAACGGAAGAACGTGTACACTGCGGGAACGTCACAGAATCTTTTGCACACTTTTCTCTTTAGTCTGAGATGTTGTGAAGCTCTGGGTCTTTTGCCCTTCAAAACTATAAGATAAGCAAAATGCCAAAAACCCTCATGAAACTGCACTCTGGTAGCAGAGTTATTCGATCATACCATACTGTTATACATGATGTAATATGCCCACAAGAAACTAGATGCATGGTCGGACAGTTCACGATGTCTACTAACGGAGTCAATGCGGACTCTCTTCACAGCAGGGTTTGTTTGAAAAGTTTTTCAAAGCTTTGAAAACCTTTATTTTGTAAAACTGTGCCATATTAACGAGAACTCGGAAGCAAGCTGAACATTCATTGATGCAGTTTGTAAAGCAAACATCTGTGGTTAAAATAACGCTTCTCCTGGCTTTGGATGATGCTTCAGTCAGAAGCTGTAACGACTCTGTCTTAAAATACGCACGATGCGCTCACGCAGCTGTCTATGTCGGTTTAAGAGCTGGAGAGCTTAGATTCGTATTAAATTGAGGCTAATATGCAATGTGATAGTTTTTGACTTCCAAGGGCAATCAAAACTTTTCTAGAAAGTGGAAAACTCGGATGAAGGAAAAAAAATACCCAATCAGAATCCAGTCAGAAGATACCCAAGATCAACTTTGAAATGACATGATTCTGGTACGGCCGGATTATAGAGCACGTGCAGTTACCTGTGTCCACAGCTTTTACACCTAAGGAGTGACTTTTCACTGAAATATAAAAATATTGCTATACGAAATACTGAGAAATTTTTAAGTGACTAGAAAGTCATTTTGTTTTAATCTACTACTGTCATAATCTACTATATTTCGTCGATATCCCAGCATCACACCGCGTGAGTATAAATAATAAAAAGCTTTTATTCAAAGAGCAATACATCGAATGGAAAAAATCATTGGCCATTTTAAAAGACGAAAGACAAGAATTCAGTAGGAAACAGTTCAACTGAAAGTCAAGGAGAGCTATCAGTGTTAATAACGACGCGCAGTACTTATAAAATATCAAATACCATACTACATAGATCATAGAATTTATCCAAATACTCTATCAAAAATTAACTGATCTATCTACCCTAACCATTTGCTGGGATATAAAATGAAAGGTAGAATTTCTTCACTCATGCGTTGTGTTCGGTTAAAATAGTGTATAAAACTCGAATTTTTCATTAAACTACGTTCCCATTCCTAAGGGTATGATCAAAAGAAGTATTACTATCCATCACATTCTTTTGCGTTATTTAAAATCAGAGTTAAATTTTTCGTTGCAATCGAGCTAGTTGTCTGCTGGAATATACACGAAACTATGGATATTTTTTTTTGATTTTTAATGTCCTAATTGCCAAATTCTTTAAGAAGAAGCACTTATTGGGATCTTTTTTCCATTTTTTTTCTCGTGGAAGTGTCACAGTTATTGCTATTCGAGTTAAGTAATCTATTCTTTTTCTATTATATTTGGGCATGAACCAGACCTTTAGTTATTTTTGTTGGTTGAATAAATATTATTACTTATTTAACTATATGGTTTGTCCAAGCGTACCAGCCAAGTAAAGGTAAGGCCATAACGTTATGTGAAATTCATTGCTCTTCAGCCGCAACGTACAGAGTCGAGGAAAGTCTTATTTTGTAGCTTAATGATTTTTCTTTCAAATGGTAATTAAGCAAAGTCTACCTCTAACCTCAACACTTGCTTATAATTCGCGTCAACAAAATCCTTTTGTATGAAAGTAGTGTATACCAAAACCATTATGTCGTTTAAACTAGTCAGCTGCTAGACTTTGCCTAGTTGCCATTCTAAAGAAAAATCTTCAAGCTATAAAATAAGACGTTTCTCAACTTTGTACGTTGCTCGGTTGCAGAGCTATGAATTTCACAAAACATTACGGACTTACCTGGTGGATAAGCCCTATAGTCTACATAATGTAGATCTAAACATTTTTAATCAACCAGATTCTATAGTCTGATTGAGAAAAAAGAAGTGTAACTTGGAAAATACCAACCTCAATTATTTTTATTTTATATGAAAAGAAAACAATACAAAGAAAAAAACATAAATTCATATTACCTACATTTTATAATTGACAAAATGCAAAGTACTTTTAACAAAAAACGCTTTATTGATAGGTATTTCTGTCTAACCCTTGAAATTTGAAATGAAGCTTTTTACGCATTAATAGACATATCTACCATAAAAAGATACATATATAGCTCTAAAACTAGAAGTATACCACATTTGTGAAGCAGTGAGCTGTGACAATCTCAAGATATTTAGTTGTGTAAAAGAATTACAGCGATATTTTTCCATGTTATATTCTCAAAAAAGTGAACGATTTTATAGATCGTTACATTTTATAGAACTGTTATACATGATGTAATATGCCCACAAGAAACTAGATGCATGGTCGGACAGTTCACGATGTCTACTAACGGAGTCAATGCGGACTCTCTTCACAGCAGGGTTTGTTTGAAAAGTTTTTCAAAGCTTTGAAAACCTTTATTTTGTAAAACTGTGCCATATTAACGAGAACTCGGAAGCAAGCTGAACATTCATTGATGCAGTTTGTAAAGCAAACATCTGTGGTTAAAATAACGCTTCTCCTGGCTTTGGATGATGCTTCAGTCAGAAGCTGTAACGACTCTGTCTTAAAATACGCACGATGCGCTCACGCAGCTGTCTATGTCGGTTTAAGAGCTGGAGAGCTTAGATTCGCACAGCATCAAAAGAGTCTATTAGCAACATGATATCGACACATTTTTTCTCTTTCGAGAGAATTTCGTGTTTCAACCGTCACTCCTTTGAGTTTTTTCGACGGTCTTTTCGTACGATGCAATAACCGTACTGACACTTGATCAAACTGTGTTGAAGCTGAATAGATACAAGAAAATATTGTATGTTCTTGGATACTTATTTCGTCATCAGTTAAAACCGTAAGAGAGAGAAAAGACATGTTTCAGTTTTCAACAGTTCAAAAAGCTACTTTTTGTATAATACTTTTAGCATCATTCACCTTCAAGTTTTGTTAGCTCACTAACAATAACAATTAATTATCTAGTGACTAGAGTTTAAATATTTCTTTCTCTCTCAACCTCACGAAGTTGATGTTGCAAGTGAAACAATTGGCATCATCGAAGAAGTTTGCGCTCGTTTATGAATCTCTTGTGTAACTAAATGTTGTTGTACGTGACTAGGTAGACCAGGATTAAACGTAAGTGCATATGGCAAGATCATTTCTGGCAGATCTGCAAAATTGATAATCACTTTGATAAACATAGTATCATCTCGAACGTAGTGGCTATCATCTTGTTGAATCATTGATAATGGAAAAAACTTTGAAATTCCGCTAGCGATGTTCATTTCTGAATGTGGTCTCTGGAAACTGTTTGACTTTGTGTCTAGTCTGAAAGAATCGATAATATGTTCATTTTGACCTGATTGATCGAATAGGCAGAAGGTCACTTTGTGATTAAACGGCCATTTAAGTATTAAGTCAAAATCCCCACGCATAAGGATAAAGAATACTGACATGTGTGTTCCACGACCATTCCCATCACCGTGTAAATCGAGTCTCACTCTCATTTTATAACCGGCTGGTGAAGAGTAGAAGGGAGGCGAATAAATTGATGTTTGTCTTCCAGATTGTGCATCAGCCATTTTATCAGTGACATTGATTATTTTCCACATCAAAGTACCATCACGGGAGACAAATTCATTTTCATCTACTATTTGTTTTATGCTTAAGAGTTGTTGCTCTAACGTCTTTTGATTTGACGTTATACCAGATAAATGTGTGCCTTTGTCCTTGATCGAGAGTTTAAGCTGACTTAATTCATTCTGTATCACCTGACTTATGTTGCTCGCACGTGATAATTCCTCATTTAATCTGGTGCTATCATTCCATAGTGTTTGAACGCCTTCAGTTAAAATCGTTAGAATGTCATAAACTTTTTGAAATTCATCGTGAAGTTCATTTATTTGAGTCAATGTACTTGTACGGGTAGTGGCATTCAACACTGTGTTTAGTCGCTCAACTTCCATAGTTTCATATTCCATCGCAGGGGGTTCCATATTTTCTCGTTTGACAGCAGAAAAAGGAGTACTCGCACGTGTTGCTAGTGGATGAGTGTTATGGCTGCCAGTTACTAGGAGGTCCACTTTTGACTTTAGCTGTTCCAGAATTTTTATGAGAGCTTTTTGATGCTGCTTTGTTAAACAATGTAAACCAAGCTCACCTCGAATAATCTAAATATTCACAGTTAAAGATATTATTCGAGAAGCTCTGCGGATACCACATAACTGACCTGATCGGCACAACCATAATGAGTCAAGAGACAAGATATCTTTGCGTTAGCACATGTGCTCTTTCTGTGTTTTTCTAATGCATTAAATGACGAAAATTGGGCATCACAAAACTGACATTTACTTCCATGATATTTATCAAGATGTTCCTAGTGTAAATTTATAAACTTCTGTACATTTAGTGTTCGATTCAGTAAAAGTGGAGTCTTATTTTTTACCTTGTATATTTTGAGTGGACCAGACCATGTACACTTGTTACTGCATACCACTTCTAATAGTTCTATCTCTCTTTGGAAACCTTTGTCGCGTAGAAGCTAAAAGGTAAATAACATATAAGGACAAAATCTATACCGTGCAGATAAGGATAGTCAGATAATAAAGTCCAGCTATCGTTTTATTTTCAATGCGGAGAGGAGGAGTCCATACTTCTGTTAGAAATCTATTTTTATTTTAATCTGAAACAATCGATGGTTAAATCCGTAATACCTTATTCGATATAGGTCCATTACAGACGAAGCAAGTGATCGATTTGCGACTCCTAAATAATATTACATTACAAGTTAAAAGCAAGCTCAAAAGTCTGATAACAAAATTATTCTACCTTAATACAGGTTCACTTATACTTAAACATGTTTGTTGAACTTACTCAATTATTACAGTGGCGCATGATGAGCAAAAACGATCTCCACACGTCATTTGTACTGGTTCTCTGATGAGTTTTCTACAGACTGGACACTTGAAACGTTGTTCATATGCATCTATATTGAACACGTCATATCCACCACCATCATCAGATACCTAAGATAAAACGATATTTAGCGTGTATTATTAGGATGTTTAGGGAAGCCATCAAAAATAACTGAAAGTATAAAAAGTGGACTATAGACCACTCATAAGAAATTTGTTCATTTTTGTTCACGCATAGCTATAGATAAATATCGTTCTTTTCCATTTTCTTGCTTAATTGACTTAAAGAGAAAAAGTTATGTACGGAATGGAACAGATTTTCATATTCTATAGTGAGTGTCAGTTGCACATAAAGCTGAATTATATGTGTTTTCTTTAAAGAATGAAATAAGTTTACTGAAGTCGTAACATTGAAACCTCTGCTTTCACATGGGAATTGAAGATTATCTGACCTTTTCATATACAGTTGTTCTTTCAGATATTTCATATAGAACATAGTTGAGCTTTATATTGTGTCTGGGAAACTGATAATCGAAATACAACAATTCTTCTATTGAGTACGGTGTCCTCTAGGTTCGTTCCTAATTCGCTTTGTAAAATCAAACAACATTATAGATAATTTCAAAAGTGAGAGTAAGCAATTAGGAACGAATCGAGAGTAAACCATTGTGTACATATATCAAGTTATATTAGAGTAAAAATAAAACTTGGCCTTACATCTCCTTCGACTACCGTGGCCCGAAGAGAAAGGTGGAAGGTCATGGTAATGGAACAAATTCTGCTTAAAACTGATTGAACTGCTCAATGAAAAGCAAAAAGTCTATGTTTTGATAGAGCCAGACAGTGACCTTGATGGTCTTATATCTCAAAAGCCAGACAGTACCAACTTTTGAAAAATAGTTCAACACGATGTCGAACATTTTCTTTTTCGTTTATTATAAAAAGTAAAAATGGATATTCTCTAATTATTTTCTATTTAACTCGTTAAGTTGAGCGATTTTCCATTAAACGCATAATGAATAATGTTTTCCTTCCGTAGAAAAATACATCAACATTTATACTAAAAGATGAATTTTGTTTCTCTTTATTTCGTTCTTTAAAGAAAAATTTTGCGAGAAAAAGGAAAAAGAACGATATTTAGGGAAGCCGTCAAAACTATGAACGAAGCAATCGGATCAAACGGATCACTTGTAGAATAATGTGAAGCGCTCCTCTGTGATGTTTGTATAAGAGAGAAAATATATAAAATCTATCTTTACTTATCCATTTTATTCATGTTTTCCAATAGATTACTTTTTATTAACTCATATATATAATACATCAAAGAACACATTAATTGTGCTAATTAATCATAGGTAATATATATATTCGCTCTGGCCTTATCACGTGCTAATATGATCTTAAATAAATAGTGAGAGTGACTTTTCGCCATCATAGCTATGATGGCGAAAAGTCACTCTCACTATTTATTTAAGATCATATTAGCACGTGATAAGGCCAGAGCGAATATATATATTACCTATGATTAATTAGCACAATTAATGTGTTCTTTGATGTATTATATATATGAGTTAATAAAAAGTAATCTATTGGAAAACATGAATAAAATGGATAAGTAAAGATAGATTTTATATATTTTCTCTCTTATACAAACATCACAGAGGAGCGCTTCACATTATTCTACAAGTGATCCGTTTGATCCGATTGCTTCGTTCATAGTTTTGACGGCTTCCCTAAATATCGTTCTTTTTCCTTTTTCTCGCAAAATTTTTCTTTAAAGAACGAAATAAAGAGAAACAAAATTCATCTTTTAGTATAAATGTTGATGTATTTTTCTACGGAAGGAAAACATTATTCATTATGCGTTTAATGGAAAATCGCTCAACTTAACGAGTTAAATAGAAAATAATTAGAGAATATCCATTTTTACTTTTTATAATAAACGAAAAAGAAAATGTTCGACATCGTGTTGAACTATTTTTCAAAAGTTGGTACTGTCTGGCTTTTGAGATATAAGACCATCAAGGTCACTGTCTGGCTCTATCAAAACATAGACTTTTTGCTTTTCATTGAGCAGTTCAATCAGTTTTAAGCAGAATTTGTTCCATTACCATGACCTTCCACCTTTCTCTTCGGGCCACGGTAGTCGAAGGAGATGTAAGGCCAAGTTTTATTTTTACTCTAATATAACTTGATATATGTACACAATGGTTTACTCTCGATTCGTTCCTAATTGCTTACTCTCACTTTTGAAATTATCTATAATGTTGTTTGATTTTACAAAGCGAATTAGGAACGAACCTAGAGGACACCGTACTCAATAGAAGAATTGTTGTATTTCGATTATCAGTTTCCCAGACACAATATAAAGCTCAACTATGTTCTATATGAAATATCTGAAAGAACAACTGTATATGAAAAGGTCAGATAATCTTCAATTCCCATGTGAAAGCAGAGGTTTCAATGTTACGACTTCAGTAAACTTATTTCATTCTTTAAAGAAAACACATATAATTCAGCTTTATGTGCAACTGACACTCACTATAGAATATGAAAATCTGTTCCATTCCGTACATAACTTTTTCTCTTTAAGTCAATTAAGCAAGAAAATGGAAAAGAACGATATTTATCTATAGCTATGCGTGAACAAAAATGAACAAATTTCTTATGAGTGGTCTATAGTCCACTTTTTATACTTTCAGTTATTTTTGATGGCTTCCCTAAACATCCTAATAATACACGCTAAATATCGTTTTATCTTAGGTATCTGATGATGGTGGTGGATATGACGTGTTCAATATAGATGCATATGAACAACGTTTCAAGTGTCCAGTCTGTAGAAAACTCATCAGAGAACCAGTACAAATGACGTGTGGAGATCGTTTTTGCTCATCATGCGCCACTGTAATAATTGAGTAAGTTCAACAAACATGTTTAAGTATAAGTGAACCTGTATTAAGGTAGAATAATTTTGTTATCAGACTTTTGAGCTTGCTTTTAACTTGTAATGTAATATTATTTAGGAGTCGCAAATCGATCACTTGCTTCGTCTGTAATGGACCTATATCGAATAAGGTATTACGGATTTAACCATCGATTGTTTCAGATTAAAATAAAAATAGATTTCTAACAGAAGTATGGACTCCTCCTCTCCGCATTGAAAATAAAACGATAGCTGGACTTTATTATCTGACTATCCTTATCTGCACGGTATAGATTTTGTCCTTATATGTTATTTACCTTTTAGCTTCTACGCGACAAAGGTTTCCAAAGAGAGATAGAACTATTAGAAGTGGTATGCAGTAACAAGTGTACATGGTCTGGTCCACTCAAAATATACAAGGTAAAAAATAAGACTCCACTTTTACTGAATCGAACACTAAATGTACAGAAGTTTATAAATTTACACTAGGAACATCTTGATAAATATCATGGAAGTAAATGTCAGTTTTGTGATGCCCAATTTTCGTCATTTAATGCATTAGAAAAACACAGAAAGAGCACATGTGCTAACGCAAAGATATCTTGTCTCTTGACTCATTATGGTTGTGCCGATCAGGTCAGTTATGTGGTATCCGCAGAGCTTCTCGAATAATATCTTTAACTGTGAATATTTAGATTATTCGAGGTGAGCTTGGTTTACATTGTTTAACAAAGCAGCATCAAAAAGCTCTCATAAAAATTCTGGAACAGCTAAAGTCAAAAGTGGACCTCCTAGTAACTGGCAGCCATAACACTCATCCACTAGCAACACGTGCGAGTACTCCTTTTTCTGCTGTCAAACGAGAAAATATGGAACCCCCTGCGATGGAATATGAAACTATGGAAGTTGAGCGACTAAACACAGTGTTGAATGCCACTACCCGTACAAGTACATTGACTCAAATAAATGAACTTCACGATGAATTTCAAAAAGTTTATGACATTCTAACGATTTTAACTGAAGGCGTTCAAACACTATGGAATGATAGCACCAGATTAAATGAGGAATTATCACGTGCGAGCAACATAAGTCAGGTGATACAGAATGAATTAAGTCAGCTTAAACTCTCGATCAAGGACAAAGGCACACATTTATCTGG